TTAATAATAATATATATATATATATATATATATATATATATATATATATATCTCACTTATATTTACAATTTATTCAATATCTTTCTCTTTTGTTGTAAATTTAATGAAATGCTGAAATGTTTAAAAGTAATCAAAACAAATAATAAAAAAATGTTTAATCAAGCAACATCATCTTCATCTATGACTTGAAGAAACAAAGCTATTATAATATAATGTGATTATTGTTACTATGTATTGGTTCATCTTGTTGATAAAATTAATTACATATCATATCAAAATATATTTTCCGATTTCAGAGAGTTTTAAAGACAGATGTATTTACGAAATTATTTTATTCTCTTTCTATTACTATTATTAAACTGTCAACATTAATTGCCAAATTATATAATAGATTTTGATCATGAAGCTATCCAAGTTAATTAAAAACAAAAATGAAAATAAAAATAAAACATAAAAATATATAATCACTATAAAATTTTCAATAAAAACATAATTAGGTTTTCACGATACCTCTCTCTCTTTCTTCTTATATATCTTATAATCTAATATATTAATTATTATAAAGAACAATTTACCCTCCGCACGGTTTTTATGAAAATAGAGTTCCGATGAAATTGAATTTGATATATGCATTAAATTGTATAAATGTAATTGTATAAAAATATCACAATTCAATTTTAATTTAATAATAAATAAGTAAATCTATCCTTGAACATCTCGTTTTTCTTATTGAATAAATAAATTTTCTAAAGATCGTCGATTAAACGCAAATGCATGTTGCTTAATTTGCAATTATTTCTGTCTTTTATAAATTATACGAGAAAAGATATTCTCGACGAAAAAAAAACAATATAATAATATAAATAATATAAAAATAAAGTAATAATGTTTATTATGGAAAATTGACGGTTGGATTTGCAATTGTACTCCGCGTGTGTTGCGAAGCATAAAACTCTTCAATAATCTTTAGTAATTTCTAATTACTAACTAATACATACTCTTGTAACATATTAACATTGGCGTCAAGTATATATATTATGTTGTATTATATTAAATACAAAATGTCAAAAGAAGATATATGCGAAATAGTGTCTTCTATATTTTAATATTCCTAGATTAATATTTGACATATTCGATAATGACTCTTGTAAGATATTGTCGATATATGTTATACGAAATACTTGCATAAGTTATTTTATCAATCATTCCTATATCAATAATTAATTCACACACAGCGAAAAGTGGATGACAAAAATAGGTCAATCTTGTTCATTATATTTTTCATTTTTTGACTTTTAGATATAAACATTCTATTACCTTTTAATAAAGGTACTTATTTGGACAAAAAAAGGGATAAATAATTGACGAAACTTCTTGTCATAAATGATAAATACAGAAAGTATTAAGGACTCTCCAACATTTTAAATAAATAAAGATTGAGTTAAAAACCCAGTTTTCGATGTGTAAGGATTAATGAAAGATATATGTGATATATTATCACAAAAGCTTATAAATTATTACTTTAGCAATTTTGAGTGCAATGAATTACTCTCTTCGATATAAGATTTACAATACTATATCGATTCTTGTATCTTTTCCTTTTCTTTAATGCATTGAAAGATATCATATATCCGAAAGTCATGTATGAGACATCAACACGCAACATAATGACAGACGAGATTATAACGATTCTGATATTTTTTCTGTAAAAATATTTTGCAAGTGTCCTTCCAATTGTGAATATAAATAGTGCGTTCTCAAAAATTTATGACAGATTTAGATTTAGACAAGCTTGTAATTGTCCATCATGATGGTCCATTTATAAACTGCGACATCGACGAACACGTAGAAACCTATGTAAAAATGTATAACAGGAACGTGATAAAACGATTTATAGATGATACAAATATCTAAATAGATTAAAATAAATCTAAATAGACTAAACGCGTCACACGTCATACTTTATACACGCATATACGTAACATACATAAGCGTATCTAACTTTGAAAATATGTTATGAAAATATGTATATGTACACACACACACACACACACACACACACACACACACACCACACACACACACACACACACACACACACACACACACACACACACACACCACCACCCA